CGCCCGGCGAGACGCTCCGCCGGCGGCCCCCCTCGCCCGGACCCCCGCGCCTCCTCTGAGCCGCCGCGCGTTCTGAAGGACAAACGGCTTTTCGAGGTCCGCCCGCCGCAATGGCTTTGCGCTTTGGAACCCATCTCAAGTCGGCGAGTCGCTTGGTCACTCGCCGGCAGTTTTTCAACGAGCGCTGCGTCCAAATCACCTTCCGGAACTCCCACGTCGATACCGAGGGATAGGAGTGGACGTTTTGGGAACCGTCGAGGTCAGCGCGACGCGCCGCCATTTTTCTTTTGCGCCGCCGAGGGGCCGCGGACGTGCACGCGCTTCCTGACCACGCGAGCGCGTAAATCGGACCAAATATGTGCCTCCGTATCTTTTTGTTTTTTTCATTGAACCGACGTCCATCGCAGTCTCTTCATCTCTTCCGATGGGCACCAGACTTTGTCAAAGATCTGCCTCTGAACAACATCTGATCGGTCCCCCGATGACTTTCAAGGGCGGCACAAAACTGCCCCACGGCAAGTGCGAGAACTTGAGTTTTCCCACAAAAAGTCAGCTGGCTCCAAATTCGAATCTTCCGCCGCAACGTTCGTCCCGCTTGTCCTTCCGAATCGCCCCAGAATAGCAAGCCGATTCGACGAAGCCGGAATGTTGTGTTCCACATCGATAAAAAGAGCAGACAAGCGCTCTTTGCCGAATGCGCTCCAAAGACAAGGTCGTTGCTCATCTTCGGGTTCAAGGCGAACGCGTTGTCCCAACTTGATTGGAAGTGGCTTTGGATTTCAGCCTTCTGGCGTCGTCGTTCAGGGCAGGTGAGCGCGCGGGGGGGGGGGCACATTTGAGTCGAAACGGTGTCAGTGCGCACCGACTTTCTAACAACTGGACCAAAGGAGGTTTCGTTGCTTCCGCTGGTGTGAAAAACAACACGGGTGCATTTTTGACACTTTACACGTGTCCGAAACGCGATTTGGGGGGGCGGAAGGATTCCTGCTGCCCGATGTCCGAGCCGGAAAGGAGGAAGGAAGGAAGCAAGGAAGAAAGGAAGGAAGGAAGGAAGCAAGGAAGGAAGGAAGGAAGGAAGACTTGAAGCGGAGGCTTCCTTGGAACAGACAGTACCAATGTCGGCCGCTAGGTGGTGGAAAAAATGACTTTTTGGTTTTGCCGCCCTGGTTGTGGATTGCTTGGAAGGAGCAACGGCTCATCGACTTGACCCAGTCACTCTGGTCACAAACGCATGAAAATAATGTTGATGTCAGCAGCAAAAAAAAAAAAAAAAGTTTTAAAGAGCTATGCGGTGATGATTAATGAAATTATGCATTGGCTTTTGTTAATAATTAAAACTTTACTTCAGATTGTGACAGAATGGTTAATTTAGTGTGCGCCGCGCTGCTACCCGAACGAAGGATGGTCCCGCCGCGCCGGGAGAGGTCCGGGGCAGGCCGACGGACGCCCGAGCCGGTGAGAGCGACGATCATCCCTTCCTTCCCTTTGCGCAAGCGGGCGACTCGCGTTTGGGCCAACTTCTGCCCAAACGGAACGCGCAAAATGGCGAGTTGCAAGCGGAGAGTCGACACCGAGCCGTTGGCCGGTCGTCCCGTTGCAGCTTTGGGAGTTCGGTCGGGCCTTCTCACCGGTGAGGCGGCGGCGATGTGGGCCCGCCTCAAAGTCTGCCCCTTTGACGAGACCGCCCCGGACCCCTCGGCGGCGCGAGGCCAAACGGCCGCCCGCAGACGCCCGGTCCGCTCCGACATTTCGCGGCCGCTCGCCCACGAGACGCAGACGCCCGGCGGATGCCCGGTTGGTCGCGGCCTTTCAAGGAGAGCCCCCTTTTGGATTCTGGCCTTTCTCGAGAATTGTTTTGCCGATATTCCTCAGTCAGCGGCAGAGTTGGACATCCCCGTTGTGGCCAGGTCCATCCGCGTGACTGCCAAAAGCTGTCCGGCAGCCGCACCCGCCGCCGCTGAAAACAAAAACAAACAAGGAAGCGAATGTACTGCGGTGCGACTTGATGTGATGAGCATGATTAAATATGACCTTCGAGCCCATTTACGGATTTGGACTTGCTCTATTTTGCCCTCGCATCGACCGTCGACGCCGTTTTGTGACGCCGCACACACCGCCCTTATCCGCGGGAGCCTGCAAAACTCGTCAAAACGACGCCCGCCCCACCTGCTCGGCGCACAGCCTTTCCTTGTCAAGTTTGTCTTCCCACCGGTAGGTGGCAGTAATCGCCTCCGCGGACACGCCTGGCCGGCTGTTTTGGCGCGTGCACGACGAGGCGTCGCTCGGCGCGTCCGCGCAGAAGGTGGGAACGAGGACGCGATTGGGTTTTTTGTTTGTTTTGTTTTTTCCTTCCTCGTTCCGCAGCCCGAAGTGCGCGCGTCCGGCGCGGATCCTTTCGTGTTGCGGGCGGGCGGGCGGCCGGTCGACGAGCGAGACGGCATCCGCGTCTCGTCACACGGTAAGACGGCACGCGCGCACGAGCGACGCGGACGCGCGCCGCCCGCCCCGGCGGCTCCTGATCCCGATTTGCGGCTGTCGCAGGTGGCGCGGTCGGCCGCCATGGAGGCCGGTCGGGCGCTGGAGCGTCACGTGGCCAGCGTGCACCGAGGAATGGTTTTCCTCCAGCGCGAGCATCTGACGCTGCTGGCCGGCCTGCACGTGGAGATCAGCAACCTCAAGAGGAGATGCCAGGGTACGTGCGGCGCGCGCTCGACAGCCCGGCGGCGGCGAGGCCTTCTCCGAAGCTCGAACCTTCCTGGATCCGCGAGCTAAAGCGGAATAGCCGTGCCGTTGTGTTCATTTGCTGGCAGAGGCGCTGCCCACCACTCGGCGGGATGTTCATGACTTTCTGTGTGTGTGTGTGCGTGTGTGTGGCGCAGAGTTGAGTTGCGAGCTGGACTCCAGGTTCCCGCACAGGACAACAGCAGGTGAGCTGTGACGTCACCATTTTTTTTTTTAATCTGAGCGCTCTTGCCACCGAAATGCCATTTTCTTCGTTCTGATGCCGCGGGAGACATTGCAGGAAAATGAGCCTCCACGGAAAAAAGGATTTCATTGAAATATTCCTCGCTCGTCCCGCCTCGGCTCTCGAAATAAGACGCAAGGTGTGCATGCCGAAGCTACTAATTTTGTCACTCCCAGCCGGAGTTGACCGCAAAAGACTTTTCACACGGCACCCGATGCTTCTCGACCTTCGCTGCGGCGCAACGCTCCCGTGCCGGCTTGTCCAGTTAGTCAGCGGCTTGGCAGCAAGTAGCACGCACGCTCATCGCTCCGGTTGGTCTCTGGCACTCTGAAATCGCACAGCCGGACACGCTCCGATCTGACGTCGCGGTGACACGTACAAACGGAACATGCCGCCATATGCACGGGTGGCTCTTCTTTTGAAGACGGCGGCGATAAGTGGAGCTTGGCGTCGTTGGGGACCTTCTCCGCCTCCTCTTGCTCTTCTTATGCTGCCCTCGCTCCGAAGCGTGGCGTTTCTCACGAGCGAGACTGCCAAGTTAACGACGGTCCAAATAAACAGGCTCCCTTTGCTTTTCGGGGCTGCTTTATTGCATCATCGCCCAAAGCAAAAAGTCAGTTATTTTGACATGACGTGACTTTCGGACAAATCTTGTCCAAGGCGTCAACAAAACGGGATGCAAGTTTGACAGCGGAACAGGAGAGGGAGGGGAGGACTTGGGGGTCTTTCTCGACGTTGGCAAACAATACATCGAGCAACCACAGGAGGGCGCCGTGAGGCTAAATCGAACCCAGCGTTCCAATTTTTTACGGGCGGCGCTCTCCAAATTGGACCGCGCCTTTGGGAAGGCCTTTGGGCAGCGCTGCCCGGCGCGTCGCGGCTCAAAGCAGGCGCTCGCCCGCGTTCCGGACGAATCCATCCGAAGCCTTCCTGCCGCAAAGGGCGGCCGGACGGCCTTCGACACGTGACACGCGAGACTTGGTTCCGGGTGTCGTTTTGAGCGCCATCTTCCTCTTGTGCGATTTGCTGTGCGCCAGAGGACGAAGCGCAACTGACGTCCCGCTGCGAGGCGGCGCGGCGGCTCCTGGAGGAGCGGCGCGGCGCGACGGAGGC